TGAAGGCGTAAGTCACGAACAAGGCAACACCAGTTTGGAGTTATGATTAATAGGGTGTTATTTATTTAAAGGGGAAAAAACTTACAGATCACAATCCCAGATAACAGCCATCTGCGCAACCAGGAAGGGAGTCTCGTCTCCAGCGGAGCAGTAAGAGAAGAGAGCGAGCAGAGGAAATAGCCGCTTTTTTAAAGGGAGTGAGACCACGCCCCAATGGGCTGGTATCACAGCAGCTATTGGTTGGAGGGGCGGAAAGACCTCCCGCAACATGACTTCTTCTGGTTGAGAGTATTTGAGGCTCCCCACAGGCCCCTAAACTCTTGAGAAGAACTGAATTTGAAGAACCCTGTACCAAGAAGGAACCAGATCCCAGTACTGAGATAGTTTCACACAGTGGCTGTAATCTGGAGACGCCATAGCTTATAGCCTTGTTTAGCAGCCGTGCATTTAAAAATAACTCTTAGGCAGAATCCCAGCGTACAATACGCAGGCATCTCTGTCCACAGTGAGGGGCAGATGGCCATGCTCAGTGCTCACAACCTTGATATTCGTTCTTGTCTGTGACCTCTAAGAACCATGAACCTAGAATTTCCTATTAAACACTAAAAGCCACAGTGTTAGAGTTGCTGGTACCTCCTGGAGAAGGAATGACTAGCCCCCTTTAGAAGTGGAATAATGGGTTCTAATAATTGATAATAATTAGTAGATATTATCAGTGATAATCCATTTTCATAAAATTGCATGCTAGTTGTATGCCCATGCTTCCCCAGCTATGAAATAAGATCTGAATCTGAATTGTCAAGGTTTTCCTTAAGCAAAGATCCTCTGTCAGAGAGACAAACATGGTTCTTAGGACTGTGTTATACAAAGGCCACTTGTTTGTTCCCAGCTGCTCAGCCCTGAAATAATCGCACAGAAACCATATTATTTGCAATACTGTTTGGCCAATAGCTTAAGCCTATTTCTAGCTAACTAATATCTTAAATTAACCCATATCCATTAATCTGTGTATCTCCATGTGGCTGTGGCTTACTGGGTAAAGTTCCTGCATCTGTCTCTGGCAGGGCTCCACGGCTTCTCACTGACTTCACCTTCTTTCTCCCAGCATTCAGTTTAGTTTTCCCCTCCTAGCTCTGTTCTGCCCTGCCAT